TATATATATATATATATATATATATATATATGGGAACAAAAAATACCATACAGTAGACTAGTGTTCCCAGAGATTATCATTCCTCAGGAAAACATGAAGAAATCTTTGTTGCAAGTACAAGTTAATTCAAGTTTTAAATTCAGAAATGTAATAAAAATATATTGTCTGAAAGTCTGTGTTTGTGTTTTTAACAAAAAATGTAACTTGACAGTACCTTGTATGATACAATTTCTAGGTAACTTTGCCAAATAAACCTTTATGAAGGTTTTATATATATTATACCACATATATTGTCAATATCTTGTATGATATGAGTATCAAGTATGAAGGTTAAAGGTTTTAAATATTATATTACATAAATTGTAAAATTGCTCTTTAGCGATTTTCGATTTTAGACACGCTGGTTGTTCCAAATTAAATTAGTTTTTTTAAGTACTCTACAGATATCGTGAAAATCAAAAACCTTAACAGAAAATATTGGAAAATCACAGTGGACTTTGTTGAAATTATTTTATTCAGTTAATAAAGTTAATCACTTTAACACAGTTCTGGTCAGGTTTTTATGTATGTGGACTGGGATTCTTCTACAGTAGGTGTCTGTGACTTACTGGTGATAAATTCAAACAATAAACACAAGCACACTATCCTCTTGTTTTCAAAAAATAATGTATTGAAAACAAGTCAAATGTATGTACAAAAATTCTTTACACTATAGTATATTACAGTTATATCTAAAACTAAATAATTTTTTTTTGTCAAAAGTTCATTTTGGCTGATTCAATTACTTTAGAATCCAGTTGACAAGATGAACTATTCTTTTTTCTCTACTTTGTTTCTTACTGTACAATCTGTGTTATATTCACTTGTGTTACTACGTGGTTTACCACAGTTGTATCTCAAACTTTAAATAATTGTCTCCCTTTCATCAAAGTCCACACAGACGGGTTCAATTACTTTAGAACACCCTTTGACAAGACAAATTATTCTTTTTTTATCTCTGTTAAACTGTGAAACTCACTTTTTAAAATATCAATCGTTAAGGCTAATCACAGTTGTGTCTGACTGAACTTTGCTTACTTTTTCTCCACTTCATTGAACTTCCGCTCGCTAGTCACACACACACACGCACCTTGCCCAACTGAGGCCTGGAATTTTTTACAAACTATGCAAACAGTGGTATAATGTAACAATACTCAGTTAGGGTAATGAGAAAAACACTGAAGATTAGAGTAACATGATGTCAACAATATTAGAGAAGCCTAGACAACAATGTAACTGTAAACACAACGTACAACTCTTACAAAGTTATGTAATGAAATTTGTCACTGCTAACACTTTTGAAACAATCCATCTTCAACGCTCCTGTCTTAAAAACTAAACAATCCTTAAATATTAAATCGCAAATTAAGTAAATAATAAAACTTAAACTAAACAGTCTTGTATTTCCAACAGTTCTTAACATTTCATTTCTTAGGAAGGAGTTTCATTCATAAACTTAGTATAGTACACAACTCTATATTGATATGTATGTGTACAATTATCAGAGTTGTGTATAATCAAACTTTTGTAACATATATATATATATATTATTTTTTTTTTTTTCCCAATATTATGCTAATAGGAAAGGAACAAGCTACAGAACTGAGGAAAACAAAGACAATTGTACATTTCACAAATGCTTAATTTATTACTATCATAATTTCACCAATAAAGCAGTGTCAACTTATAAGAAGTGGTGGTAATAAATGAAATATTTGTGAAGCATGTTGTTGTCTATGTTTTTCTGCAATTGTAGAGTTTCATCAAGTTCTGATTATGTAACAAGTTGCAGATCGTAAATTAATTGGACTGCATAAAATGATATTAAAATCTGCAAATGAACAACGTTTTATAATACACAATTAAAATCTTTATCTACACTGATCAGTGGTTGTAAAAGGCACTCCATGTTTCAACGTGAAACTACGTCATCTTCAGAAGTGTGAAAAACAGTTAACTGTGTACTATGTAAGTACAAAAGCCTTGATCATGTGACTACTAGTTTAAAATTCAACAAAGATCATAGCATCTACATACTTTCTGATTTTCTAACCATTCATCCTTATTTAAGATCAAGTTTTTTTTTACTGTGTTACACTATTTCTATGATTTCTCTAATATTTCTAGCAGTCTTATTTGGTTGAGCTACAATAACCGTTTTTACTTCCACTGGATGATATATCCAGTATAATTTGTATGTTCAGCTAATGCAAAGTTTTCACTTTTGTTTTTAATGTTCATCTCTTATGTTCATTTATTCTAAATTCTAAGTTTCCATTAGATTTATTTCATCTCTAGTTTTATTAATATTTGACTAATTTTATTCAACGGTCTGTAAATTGCAATAAGATTTTTTGGTTTTTTGAGTTTATGAAAAATTTGACATGATAAACCTGGGATGTATGGTAAAAACATTTGTTTTTTGTCTATTTTATCAAATGTTGATTTCAGTTTTACTTTTTTGTTCAACATTTATTTTGTTAAATTTCTTTATGGCTCTATCAACAAAATGAGGTGAGAAACCTCTGTCTAATGGTACATGTTTAATAAGTAACAGTTCATTTTTTAAATTTGCTGTATTAGAACATAGTTTTAAAGACCTGTAAACATACGAATAAAAAGCTGACATTTTTTTGTGATTTTGGATGACATGATTCTTGGTGTGGTGGCATGATAACAGAAAAAGGTTTAGGATAGACCATCGTTTATAACTTGTTCTTGTTTTTCTTAACACGTACATCCAAAATTGGCAAGCTGTTGTTTTCATTAACTTTGTGAGTAAATTTCATAGGGGGTTCAAAGCTATTTAAGTAATTAGTGAACTCTAGCAAGTTCTCTTTACTAAAGCGTCAGTTTGAAACCTATCCACTTGCTAGTTTGTATTATATAGTCTACCTAATTGTAACACAGGAGTGGCGGTGATATGGTGAAGTGGATGTCTTTAACACACTGAATATCTTATACAACTTGGAAAATATCTTACTATTGAAATTAACCCATGTAGATTTCTCTAGTTGCTCTGAATTATGCTGTCTGTTATTCAGCCAACACACCAGTGATCGAAATGTTAATGTATCAACCAACAGACAGTTCTTATTATAAAACCATAAATTATATTCAACGTTAAACTGGTACACAATTAAAAACATTTTATTTAGGCCTATCTACGGCCTTCAAAAAAGTTGACGACTACATGTTTCGACGTTACAACGTCATCCTCGAAACATGTAGAGTCGTCAACTTTTTTGAAGGCCGTAGATAGGCCTAAATAAAATG